TCATGGTCAGTGATTGTTTACAGAGAGATCCTATTAACAATAGAGCTGCCTTTTAACCACCAGCAGCGATGCACTTGGGTATATCATACCATACCTTTTTGTTAATGGGCCATCGCATTATAGCATATCGCTATTCCATGAAGAAAACACTGAGACAGTCAGTAATCCTCATAATTAATCATTCATATCATTAATAATAGTAATAATATAGATTATTAATATAATAATATACATGTAAGATTTCTTGCGTGAGAGTCTGAAAGAGTGAGCGTCGCGCAAGATGCGTGAGACCTTGCAATCCTGAAAACGTGCATTTTTTTGTTTCAACTGAATTAATTTATATAAAAAATAACATTATACAGTTGCTCATAAGCTGAAACTTCAACCATCATGAAATCACCAATAAACTACGTCTTTATTTATTCGACATGATATAAAATGCATACTGCGTTTGAAGACCTTTCAGCTTTACGGTTTCAGGACAGCCACTCTGTTAGGAACATTACGGCTTCTTGGTTGAGTGTGTCGCTGCTGTTATTATTTGGGGTCCAACAGCGTTAGGTGCAAGATAGCTATTACACTGGTATACAGTGATTTTGGTGCCAACGATGTCTGGACGGTTTTATATTAAGTTTATGGTGCTGATTAAGAATATGACTTTGGTTTTGCAAGACTGGCTCTAGTATCTGGGATATTAAATATCTGAGATATTTAATAGTTAACGCAACATGCTTGAAAAGCAGTCAGAATTGCAAGAATATTTTTATTTTAGTTACAGCTAATAAGTAAACAGCCTAACATCATTAAAAAAAAATTTAAAATATCTGACAGGAAAAAGTTAAGTATGATTTGATTGTGCTATGGCCTTTGCAAACAGTTAGTCGACATCGCTCCTGTACGTCCAATGATGACATTCACACTGTGGTGAGCAATTTGCTGGGGCACAGTTAGTAATTGTAGGAAGTTGTGGCTTACATACCCTTCACAGCTCATTCAAGACTGGTTTTGTGGAAGTGTGGATGGTGGAGAAAGTGCTCAAAGCAAAGCATTACATATTCTTTTCCACTCTGCACCAGCGAAAAGAGAGGACTTCACAGCTGCAACATCATCCTCAAGATTCCCTCCACCTTTCTGTGGCCATCGGTGGCTCGAAAATTTGCCAGCTGTTAAACAAGCATTGGAAGTCCGGCCCTCTATTGTGAAATATGTGAACCTGGTGAAGTCAAAAAAGGTGAAAAACCCAGGGACATCTTCTTTTGACTGCATTTGTGAAGCCCGAATGGATCCCCTTCTTCTGGCCAAACTACATTTTTGCATGGCCCTATCACGAGTATTTTAACCATTTCTGGCCAAATACCAGACACGTTGCCCTTCCTTTGAAAGGACTTGGCAGATTTGATCAGGGTAAATATTCACCACCACATGTGAACTTCATTCTAATTTTATTTTCAGACTCTCCTTCAACGCTTCATCATTCATTTCATTACCTAAAACACTGTTAAAGAGTCAAAAGACAGACCAAAAGCTATTGCATTTGTTATCACACACAAGTTGCATTGGAGGAATGCATTATTTTCATGGATATCCATTATCTCAAAAACTAGAACCAATTCAGAAAAAGTAATGGGATTTTTGAATTCAGCACCCTCAAAATACCCTAAATCTATTCAAAAAACCCTGGCACCTGGAAAAAATTTTTCTTGTAGACCTGTGTTATTTTTTTTTCTCATTATTTAGTTTTCATTATTACTTTTCTAACTTAACACAGTCACAACTTTTGTGATAGATTTATAACGCAAAATGAGATACTGTCAAAATATTAACTGGTCTATATTCGAATTGCGGATTGTTCTCCACTAATTTAAAAAAAGTAAAAGTAACAAATTCATGTTGGAAGCAATTCGAATATAGACCAGTTAATATTTTGACAGTATCTCATTTTGCGTTATATGTTTTAAATTTATTACACAGTCGATATTAAACTGAAGTTTGACATAAAAAAACTATAGCCTATCGCAAATCATAATCGCAATGTGTCAGACAAAATCGCGATTAGATATTTTTCCCAAATTGTTCAGCCGTATAGATGCCCCTTGGGTGTATAAGAGTGAGATGGGGATACTCTTTAGGCGTATGTGTGAGAGAGTGAGATTGGGAGGTTCCTTAGGTATGTATCAGGGTTGTTCAGAATTCAAAATTTATTAAATGTGCCCCATTCCATTCATGAATTGGAATTTCAATTGGCCACACCCCATCAAATGTCAAATTGGAATTTGAAATGAATTTGAAGAATCATTTTATTCATTTCAGTTCAGAGAATAAATTGAAGAACTCAATGCAAACACAACATAGTACTGTAATTTCACCTAACAAAACATCAATTTTTATACATTTACCTTCTAGATCAGGGGTCTCCAACTCTGGTCCTGGAGAGCTACTATCAGGAGCAGGTGTGGCTCATCAGAAGCCAGGTAGGATAGAAAACCTACTGGATAGTAGCTCTCCAGGACAGGAGTTGGAGACCCCTGTTCTAGATGGTAGATGAATACTCACTGGCTACTTTATTAGGTACATCTTGCTAGTACCTGGTTGGACCTCTTTTTGCCTTCAGAACTGCTTTAACTCTACATGGCATAGATTCAAGAAGGTGCTTGAAAGGTGCATGAAACATTCCTGAGACTTTGATCCATGTTGACATGATAGTGTCACACACTTGCTGCAAACGGATGTGATTCTCCCGTTCCACCACATCCTGTAGGTGCTATATTGGATTAAGTACCGGTGACTGTGGAGGCCATTTGAGCAAAATGAACTCATTTTTCAAGAAACGAGTCTGAGATGTTATGATCTTTGTGACATGGCATGTTAAAATGCTGGAAGCGGCCATTAGAAGCTGGGTACAATGTGCTGATAAAGGGGTGGATATGGTCAGCAACAACACTCAAGTAGGCTGTGGCATTCAAACAATGCTAGGTAACACTTAAGGCTATGCTTTTAGTAAACATTCATAATGCATTATGATGCATTTATAAAGCATTATAAACAATGCGATATTTATAAAAAGGCATAACACATAGCCATATTTATTATACATTATGACTGCCTTATGAAGTTCTCATCTACAATGTACTATCGATACCTTTATAATGCAGTACAAAGCATCCTTAATGCATATACCTACCACTATAATGCATTATAAAGGTATCTACAGCGCATTACAGTATTCATACAACTTCATAAAGTATTCATAATGCAGAATGCTTTCTTTTTTACTATCACAGCTACTTAGCACCTTTTTCCTGTAATTGAGCTATCACTCAAAGGGATTTTTTTTAATTAACAAAAAACATTTCTCAGTTCTGGAAGGGATGTGTAATTCCCATACCAAATTTAATCAAAATCAAAAATGGTGATGAAACGACCATTTGTTGAATATAAATGGAATGACCCAGCAAATTTGATGAGTTTCCAAAAATCCCTGTAGGGTTTGAACCAGTTGTGAAACGTGTTATCTTTTCTTGTTTTTGTTTACTGATTAACAGTATGTTTATTATTTTAACATCCAAAGCAAATGCAACTATACATGGCAAAAAGTATTTCTTGTAGTTGCTCCCATTTTCTTATGCATAGAACTACTTTGTCTGTAGTTGTATAGCAAAAAGCAAAATATGGAAAATGTGATCAAGCTTTATTGCAATACACAACTCATTGTTCAATAGTTACATTTCAGCAGAAAAAAAAATCTTCAAATATTTTATAATTTTGATTGCAACATTCTGCCATAAACATTGTTCTTGCAACACTGAAGATTCTCTGAACAGGCACAGAGAAAGCTGCTATGGCAAGTGTTTACAGGCAGGTTGTGCTAGCTGAGGAATGCTGGTTTGGTTTCCAGTAAGCCAAAGGGTCAGCATCCTCTACTAAACATGGTTGACTCAGGCATACAGTGCAGGACATTTCTTGAGTTGGGCACTGCAGTCATCATACCCAGCACTGAAGACATTCGACTTTGACAAGATTCACAATGGTACACAAACAATAGTCAAATTATTTATTTTGTAGGTGACACTTCAAATGTTGCATTCTTTCAATATCAATGACAATTATAATGATGATACAGTATATGCCGTCTTATTTTTATGTGTAAATGTTAATGGAATATTAAGTGCAGCTTTTAACAATACGACTTATGTATATGAGTTTCTTTGAATTCAATTACATTTTAATTCCGCTTCCTTAAATTCAATTTTGAATTGCAATTCTGCATCCTGTTTTCATCTGCAACTCAAAATAAATTTCAATTCATTTTGTGAATTTGAATTTAAGGGCCATTTGCAATTGAATTCGGAATGAACAACCCTAGTGTGTATGAGAGTGAGATGGGGATGCTCCTTTGGCGTGTGTGTATGTGCGAGAGAGTGTGAGAGAGGACACTCCTTAGGCGTGTGAGAGAGAGACGGTGATCCAGGTATGGGCGTTCCTTAGGTGTGTATGAGTATGAGAGAGACGTGGATGCTCCTTAGGTGTGTATGAGACTATTCAAGTGTGAGATGGGGAAGGTCCTTCTGCATGTGT